GGCCTCCGAATTCAGAAACAACTCCGAATTCCATCCCTGCCAGACACATCACTATCAACTGCAGGAGTTCAGAGGCAGTGTCTCCAGTACACATGCCTGTAATAAGAGGCTGCAGGACATTGGGAAGGTTCTAGTTCTCCATCAGCAATTTCACTCCACCTTCCTCCCTGCGGATGAGGAAAGGGCTTCTCCCGCTACCTACGCAGCAATGTGAAAACCATCACATCACGTCTCAGGGCTGGCTCAGAGCACAGGCACAAAGAGCCCCACCCCGGCATAGAGGGTTGCCGGAACTCCAAAGAAGTTCAGCAGATCAGAAAGCATCACGCTGTGCAGGAAGACAGTCTCCAGTGAAGGCTCCCTAAGTGACAAACAAGACAGATATGCATCCGTCCCTCGGGATCCTGACACCACCCCACTTGGTGTCTAACATCCTTGAGGGACTAGGCAAATCCTGCAAGCAAAGGGTGTGATGAAGATACAGCCAGTCACACAACACACTGGCTATGGCTCAAGATATTAGCTCACACTGTGGGGAGCTGAGACCCTGGCGGGACAAGAAGACTCTGACCTCCTGCCCCATGTGTTCCAAGCTCAGTGGGTTTGGTGAGGATGCCCAAGGAAGAAGGAATGTAAGGCATGGCTGGAGAAGTTGGGGTCATGTAGGAAGACAGGTCCGGTTTCCCCAAACACCCAGCCAGCGAGGTGGTCCCAGATGTGTAGAACAGTTTCAGAGCCCTGGCTGCTCGCACCCAAGGAGGACAGGGAAAATCCACAGGAGACGAAGCCATGATAGTGTGGCTAGACACAAGACAGGCGACAGCGATCACAAGCCAGAACGGGCAATGCCCTGACACGAGATGGGGAGGGAATAAAGTCAGAGAGGACACGGGAGACAAGGTTAGAGACACATAAGGTGGAGACGGGAGGCTCAGACATCCAGAGTGCAAACAGGAGACGCAAAGTAAGACCAGGCACCCTAGACCGAATCTTGACTCGGCATGATCAAGGACTTAGGGCGCCCATCCCAGACCTCATCTCAGACCAGGACGAAAAGAGGGCTCCGTCGTCTGTCTACACCCAGCTCGGCAAAGCCCAGAAACGCTGCTGCGAGAACCGCCCATGAGCTGGGCTGAGGATTCAGACACAATCCACGCACTCCGGCAGCGAGCGAGGCACAGACACCCACGCGCACAGAGCAAGTCGGGGCGCCCAGCAAGTGACGGGAAAAGGAACCCAGCCAGGCTCCGGTAACCCCCAAAGCGTCTCTCCTGGAGATAACTTCCCCAGACCTACGGGGGCAGTCCTCAGACTCTGGCTCGGGTAGCCCACGACCCCTGAGTCTTGGTGGAGCCCCATCTGGCTTCCAGAGGAAAGGGGTGACAGAGCGGGTAGGCTGGAGGAGTCTCAGTCTGATGACCCTGGTTCAAGGGCTATGGGGGGGTATGGGACCGGGGCTGCCTCCCTCCCTGCCTGCAGGGCGCGAGACGAAAGGGCATCTTACCAGCGCCCGGGCAGGCAGTGCCCCCCGGCTGGCCGGATGCTGCGCCCGGGGTTCTCCGGGGCC